CGTGCTCTAACTAATCTTCCCTATAAAGATTGGTTTAAACTTACCAATTCAGTTCACAGTCAATCTCAGAAAAAAAAAATGACATAAAATTATTGAAAGGAAACCTAAGTCACTAAGGAAGTGAATTAGCCTTGCCAAAGCTATAAAGTCATAGTAATAAAAACTTTAATCTTCTCAGCGTTGCCACGACAAAGGTAAATTTTAGCTGTCACATCTACTGAGTTTCGTTATTAAAATGCTTTCCGCAGCTGCACGTTACAGTTGATGAAATTTATTTAGCTACTTATTAACAGATTATTCCCTTAAATATTCTTATTCTCATTGAGTTCTGTTACTGTTTTGTACCTTGATTCTCAGGTAATGGGGGAGGGGACATGGATGGTTTTGAAGTGTGACAGGTTTTTTTTTTTTAAGTTGTAGGTGGACACAATATCTTTATTTTTATTTATTTTTATGTGGTGCTGAGGATCGAATCCAGTGCCTCCCACGTGCTAGGCAAGTGCTCTACTGCTGAGCCACAACCYCAGCTCAGTTGCAGTTTTCTAACATTAATTTTTGTATATCCTACTTGTGTCCACACTCAGATTCTATCCCTTTCTTTTTGATAAAATGCATGAAGCACCCTTAATTCTTCCAAAGACAAGGCACTATGATAAGACGCAGGAACTTCCTCCTCCTGGTTTTCAGTCAGCTAGACCATTCCTGCTGTGCTTGCTACAGGTGTGCTGCCATACGGTCACATTTTAAAGACATATCTGCTGCAGGTCTTGGCACAAGACTTCTTGAGAAAGCTCCCTGAGGGCTGGTCTCTTTTTCACCTCTCATTCTTCCGTAGGTCACTCCACGTAAACTTAGTCCTGATATTTCAATGAAATAGTTCTGTCAGAGTCACCAGACACTTCTGCTTTCTGTTGTCTTCCCAATCCCTCCATGATGTTAGACACAGATGGTCATCTGGTCCTTGTCTTCCATGGGTTCCAATGCTCTACTCTGAGTGTTTTCTTTCCACTTAGAGTCTTTTTTTCAGGCTTCTGCCCGAGCTCCATTGCCTTTTCTAATCTTCCAAATACTGTAGTGCTACTTATTTGTTTATTCTTCTCTCTTCCAACTCTTCCAAGGACATTTCATCCAGTGCTGTAGCATATAGTGCTACCAATATGCTCAGGACAACCAAATGAACAGTAGCACTGATATTTTTTCTACTCCTGACCACTTTCAATTACCCAATTGATTACTAGACATTTTAGCCTAACAGACATTTTATGTATAACACATACAAAGTTAAAGCTTTTGATTTTTACCCAGATTTAGCACTTCTAGACTTCCTCATGTCATGAATCACATAATCATTGATGCTCTTGCTCAAGTTCAAACCCATGAATCACCCATGATTACTACRTTTCACTCCACCTAATTCTTAAGTAAATATTGTCAGTTTTCACACAYCATGTCCAAAGATTGTCTTTTTATCTCTAGACCCAATACTAACACTTCATCTAAGCCACCGTCACATCTGGACTAAACTAATTACTGCTTAAGACTTGCTATATATGAAGAACCTCTTTAAGCAGTTACATGCAGAGCTGTAAAATTTCATTTATCAACCATTCCAGYTATATTTAACCTCATTACAAGGCAACAGTATCATTTATTCCTTGCAATASCCTTCTGTCATAGATACTATCATAATCTTAATTTATCAGAGGACAATGAAGTATGTTGAAGGTTAAATGGCCAACCCAAGTTCACACAGCTGCTACGTACAGAATCTAGATCTTGCATTTATAACGTGCCTGCTGGGCAGTGTGGGGAGATTCCTGACCTTCTTCAATATTCTTTCAGGATTGACCTTTTCCATATTGCTGTGTTGAACAATATCTCACCTACAAAGATTGCATCCATTTAAAATAAGCCAACGAGTGAGTTTCAACAGTTGTATATACCCGTTAAAAATACTGTCATAATAAAAATAAYATTTTCCCCATTCTTTGCAGCCTGTTCCCCATCCACACCTTTACCCTGGTCACCCTCTCAAAGCTAGGCAACCAATGACCTCATTTCTGTTACCGAAGATAAGTGTGAAATCATTACAATATGATCTTTAGAGGCCTGACTTCTTTGACTTGACACCATAATTCTGATATTTGTCTCACATTCTGCGTACCAGAGGACTCTCTTTTCCATCATTCAGGGATATCTGTTGATGGATGTACTGTAATCCCCCCTCCTGCTCTATTTAGGTTGTTTTTACTCCTGCCTCTTGGAAACAAAGTGAACATTTCTATACTTGCCATTAGGTGGATATGGTTTTCATTTTGAATGGATAAATATTTTAAAGTAGTAAATYTCTAAAAGTGGCATGGCTGGGCAGATGGATAACGTTTTAAACAACATCGGTACACAGTGTTATATCTTGACCACCAACATGACTGCAGTTGCTCCATGTTTTCACCAACTCTAATTATTCTCAGTCTTTTGGGCCATTCTAATGAATGGGTAGTTTTGGATTTTGGTTTGAATTTTACAGACAACTAATGATGTCATGTGTTGTCTCATGCACTTATTTACTGAGCATTTAGAAAATGYTCATAATTTTTGTCCATTTTTAATACTGGATTATTTATGTTCTTCTTATTGCATTGTCAGATTCATATATCCTTGATACACGTCCTTTATCAGATAAATGCTTTAAAAAATGTTTTCTGTTCTGTTACTGGCCTTTTAAATTTACAAATTGGATCTTTTAAAGAGAAAAATATTTTAAATTTTGATGTAGTTCAAATCAGTTTAGCAAGCTCTTTCTTTCTATCTTTCTTTCTTTCTTTTCTTTTCTTTTTTTTTTTTGTCTTAAGAAATTGTTTTCTTATACCACAGGGGAAACAATCTCTCCTATGTTTACTTTTGGGAGTTTCTGCATTTCATTTAGACCAGTGATCTTGTTTTGAGTTTATTTTGTCTATGGTGTAAAGTAAGATCAATGTTTACTTATTTACTTAGGACAGTCAGTTGTTCTAACARCATTTGTTGAATAAAATTTCTTTCCCCGTTGACTTGTCTTTGTATCTTTCTCTCAATTCAACTGATCGTGAAAGCACAGATTCATYCCTGACCTTCTATTCCCTTTCATTGATTGTTTTGCATATCCTATTGCTAATATCTTATTGTGGTGATCTCTGTRGTTTCATGGTTAGCCTTGATGTTTTTAAGCATAATAGTTCCAACTTCGCTCTTTATTAAACTTGCTTTGTTTAATCTAGGTTATAGAGATTTCCAACTAAAATAAGCTTTTAATATCTACAAAAAATAGACTTATGGAATGTTGTTTAGAATTATGTGGAATGTATATGATTTTTTTTTTGTACTTGAAAACGGTGTGTACTTTCCTATGTATACTCACTTTTGTGAATTAGATGTGTCCTTTGCACAAGAATTCAAGTTTTTTTCAGAAGGGCAATGTCTGACTCTCTTGTATCTCCAAATCACCAACCAGGAGCAGAGGATCTGGCATGGATCGAAGATACATACCTCTTGTGTCCACATTACCAGTCTTGATGGTTGGTTAGAATTCTACAGTGTGTCAAGTTTTCAGACAGAAGACAGTTGAGCCCAAACAGTAGATAGTAAAGGAGGAGTGGGGAGGGGAGTGGGAGGACAGGTGCATTGACTAGCGAGCTCACGTTAATGTAATACATTGATGAGCAGGCAGGGTCTCTGACTAGGATTTCACAAAAAGCTTAGTTATGTTCAGTCCCTCAACCTTGCAATAATAAAATAAATATCACACATTTGTATTTCAAATCCTGGAAATTCTTTATTCACAGGTGTAATCTTATTGCCAAAATCATAACCATAATAATCATAATACAATACCAGTAAGACTTTAGAACTCAAACTCTTTTCCTGTAGTTAGAAGAAGAATTGTGTTAGCTGTTTTATGCTATCAGAATCCCATAACCCTTAGAGACATGTAATATAATAATTCTAAAATCCATCCACTTGTGAGAAAACCAAATGTCCAGGAGCTAGTAAGTGAACAGGGACTTGAACTTGCATTTTTTTGATAGTAAATCTACATTAATACATAGAATAGCTCATACAGTTACTGAATTCAAATTCTAAGCTCTCTGATTAGGTTCAGATATAATGTATGTGACTGTTAGCTATTTGTGTAATAGAATTTGTTAGTATATTACTATAAATAATCTTCTGTTAATAAAAGGAGAAATTAGAACGTATAACATATAAAATAAAATCCCACGCATTCATGACATCAACCGGTAAGTTTCTCTAGCTCAGCACCAAAGACAGATTAGAATCTTTACTGAGCTTTCTCGAGCACCTACAACCAGCAATACTGTTTTACAGTTCTCAGTTCTGATCAGGAATCCTCCATATTGCTGCAAAATACTGAACTGTGTTTTGATGTGATCTCCAAAGATAACCTTAGGTAGCATATGAATTATTACTTGGGGTTATATTTTACATTCTTTAATTCTTAGGAAATTGATATTTTACTCCTGGAATTTATGGCACATTTCTACATCTCAGCACTTTTGATGATCATTTCCTTGTTAAGGAGCTGACTAAACACCAAGTGCCATGTACATTAACAATATCATTAGCACTGCTAAAACTAGCCTCAACATTTTATCTCCTAAATATTGCCCAGGGTTTAAATCAAAGTAACAAATGCTCAATTAACCTGAACAGAGGGAAAATGCCTACTCAGCACCTTAGAAAATGATCTGGTTGAGTTATGAGTCATCTCATTTTGCAAAGCAGCAATAAAAAGGTGTCTTTCATTTGCAGAGGTACCCCTGGCATTTACAACAGATGATTACAATAAAGAAGAAACGTAACTTTGGAGTTTTATCAGAACAGGGGCATTTTATCTTGACCATGAATCTTTGCCTCTGCAGCTTTCATCTATCAAGGAAATATCTCCACGAGTTGTCAAGGGTGCAGCTATTCTCCCAGGCACTCCCAGGACTCTGACTCACCTTATGAAAGTTTCTGAAATAAGCTGCCTTTTCATCTGGAAATTTTTCTAACCTTCTGGGTCCTTTGCTGGAAGCCTTCTTGAAAACCAGCCAGCATCGTCTGAAAATCTGAAAATAAATAAAAGAATCCCATTATCTCTCCTTTTTATAGGCTCTTAGTGGCACCAAGAGGTTTATCTATTCAATTAATCCACTGGGAATAAATTTTTAAAAGCACACTTACTTTATAGTGTAACTTTGTCTTTGAATGATAAGTATGTTACTAATTACAATTGCAGCAAAATTTTAAAATACAATATTTCTTATAAAAGAATTTCTTTGTGTAATGAGGTTGTCAATGTGTTCATTTCAGTAGTTTTCAATGTAAATCCCCAGTGTTTCAAGACCATATACAACCTTTATTCCCACTATCCTCAGGACAGATGATTTTCTGTTTTCTATGCTAGTGCAGTAGCAGTTCAATAAGCTTAAGTGAAGCACTTCTGTATGGCTCCATTTTCTACCTCTGGAGGAAAAAAAACCAAAATCCTTGCCTTTAAAAATTAACTTATCTTGTAAGATTTTAGGCTTTCTTTTTTTTAACAGATGCCCATATGTTAATTTAGGAAAGAGAAAGTAATTTGTTTTTATAATGGACACATCTGTCTCACTCTTTTATACTTTTTTAGTAACTAGAATTTTATTAAGTGCTTAATATGTACAATAAGTTTAGATTTTATATACACATTTAATCATCAGAACTAGTAGATAAAGTAAGTATTATTAACTTCATTTTAAGATAGAGTTAGAGATAATGCAAGATTGGAAAACACAACTGTATGTCTTTACATTTTGGTTAAAAAAATGACTAATAATTGCTCAAACAGAAACCATTATTTCTGGAAATTGCCTTTAAGTTATGAACTAATCACTCTTGGAAGTTTCCATCATCTGTCACCGGGTTCCCACCTATCACATGCCCTCCACAGGCCTTTTTGGAGGCAAGGCAGTAGAGTCTTTTATTCCAGTAATGAAACAGGTCTGGGAATGCAAACTGGCCACAACTTTTAAATTTCAAAATGTATCCATTGTTTGCTGGAGTGAAATCTCTCCACAGCCACAGGAAATTCGTAAAAGGAAATTTCAGAAACTTAGGTCACTATATTTACCTTCTCTGTCTTTATTTAAATTGCAAAGTTGTCACAGTACACTTTGCGTTAGAAGAGGATGAATACTGCAATTCTGTTGACTGATTCTGGGGTGCATTGCTTCTTTGCTAACAGACAGCATCTTTCTTGGTAAAAGGCACTTTTAGTGCAGTTGATAGAGACTTCTCATTGTAAAGCAGAATAAGCAGAATAACAGCACGTGCACTTGACGGCTCTTGCGTGCACTTGATGGCTCTTGCTGTCTTTCTTAGACCTGGGAGCCTGGAGGTGCATGTGCAGGACAACCCAGAGGTTCCTGCATGGGAATGTCTGTCCATCTCTGCTTAAGATCCAATGGATGTGCCTTCCCTCTCGAGTGCTTTCCCTCTGTGTACATGGAAATGAGGAGCTACTTTGAAGCTCTGGGTGTTCTTCCCACCCTTGTGCTCAGCACATGCTACATCTTTTGGTCCCTTAGTGATCCCCACTCCCTAAGTAAAACAATAGCAAAGAATATATCAATGTGATTGGGCTATGATCTTAGCATGTGGTTTTTTAGCTTCAATGAACTCAATTCTATATCGATTTTTATTTGGTGTTGGAGAATTCTGACTTTAAATTTAAAAACATACTTATGTTTTAAATAGTGACATTTAGAAAATGTGAACTTAGAAGAAATAGCGTGGCATAGTGGAAAATCCTTAAAGTTCTGGGATCAGACAGGCTTGGATTTACATCCTGGCTAGCTGTGCAGCCTCAGATTACTCAGTGTCCAGCTAACAAAGAAGAGCTCCCCAAGAGAAGCAGGGAGGATGTGGCAAGGGGGACCCATGTTCTGGGCATAGAAGGTTGCCACGAGGATCTGCTCATTTTGCTTACAGAGCAGGTGCGATTTTCTGCTCATGACAAAACTCTACCTAGTGAACACCTTTTTCCTAATGAGGCAAAAGCCTAACAAATATTCAGAGCCAGAATATTCAGATGCAAGTGTTCTCCATCCAGAAAAATTAGAGGATCACATGAGAGTTTTAAAAGATAAACAGAAATTATAGTAATGATCTTCCAGACGTGAACAGTGCCACTGTAAAGACGGGACTTGGAATTCCAAGTCAACTCAGCCCCGTGTGAGAGCCACAATGGGCAAGTCACTGAGCTCTCTAAGCAGGTGTCCTTCCATTAGTTTGGGGAAAACAATGTCTATATTATACGATTATTGTGAAGTGAAAAAGAAATTAAGCATATTAAGTTAATCCCACAGTGCACACAGAGTCACCAATAAACCTAAGTGTTACAAACAGACAGGATGCTCTGAGCAGCTGGCTTTTCATAGAATCCAAAACCATCTACACACCCTGCATGTGTATGCACATATTACACATGGCAGTGTGTTTACATATACTATATGGTAAAAGTGGACTTGTACCAAATATATTTTTAAAGTTTTCAAAGATTCCATAAGTTATGGGAACTATTATATACATGATATGAGTAGAAAAACTCTTTAAATATTACATTCAATATAAATATTAATTCCTGCTAATATCTTAGGATACTTCAGGTATTGTTAATTAATATAGCTATTCATATTTACATGTTCCAATACAGAGTAAAATAAAATGAAATTCCTTCCAAAAATGACTCTCTGCACAATATACCATGAAGTAACATACAGAGAGCAAGTCTTTTCACTCACTCTCTAATACAATTTGAAGCCTTGTTTTAGAGCTGAGGATTTTATGCTATAATGTCCAAGGACAGAGAGAAACTCAATTTCACTGTAAGTTCTGTTATTCTTTAAAGGCCTTGCCTCGCAGAAGTTATTTTAACGTCTCTAAGACTTAACTTCCTCATCTATAAACTAAGATCAAACTCCATCATGAACTCACTCTTTCAGGATTACAAGAGATAGAGAGCCTGCAGAAAACGTCTAGCATATGATTGGAAAGGAGTCTACAGTCTGATCTGAAACTCTTGGGTTTTGGGTGCTGAACTGAACTATGCCCCCCCCCAATTCACCTACTGAAGCCCTAACTCCTGGTGAGATAGTCTTTGGAGATGGGCCTTTGGGAGATAATCCGGGCTAGATGGAATCACGAGGGGTGGGCCTTGATGGTGGAAGCAGAGTTCTCTTGAGAAGACCCCAGGGCCTTTGCTTCCTCTCTCTCCCTGCTCGTTCACAGAGAGGCCCTGTGTGCACTCAGTGAGTAGGCAGTTGTCCCTAAGCCAAGAAGAGGCCATCATAGAACCCAACCACACTGGCACCCAGATCTCAGCCTTGCGTGCTGCGCAATTGTGAAAAAGTAAAGTTTTGTGCCTCAGGTCACCTGATGTAGGGCACTTTGCTGTGGTAGCCTGAGCTGATGAAGGGGAGGGGGGAAGTATATATATGCAACATATATATAAGCAATATGTCTGTATCCATCAGCAATATCTGTATCTATATTAACAAAGGTGATACCCTTTTTCCWTTCACTGCTCACAGCTCATGTCAAACGAAGCCTTTGATACTCCAGAAATGCACACAGAGCTATCTAGTGACTACAGTGCCGCATCTGGTATTACCATAGTTAGTTTCTATTTTGGAGTGAGCTAAACATGAGCCAGAAAACACAAGCATTCCCGTTTTGAGAAGACTGACTTTATTTATCTATTTATTCTTTCAGTACGGGGATTTAATCCAGGGTTGATTTACCAGTGAGCCACATACCCAGCCCTTTTTATTTTTTATTTTGAGAGAGGGTCCCAGTAAGTTGCTAAAGGCTTGGCTAAGTTGTTGAGGCTGGCCTTGAACTTGTGATCCTCCTATCTCAGTCTCCCCAGCCACTGGGATTACAAGTATGTGCCACTGCCCCTGGCTAGATGGACTTTTTTTTTTCATTTATTTTCCAGATTTTATTGGTGCATTGTAATTAAGTATCATGGTGGGATTTGTTGGTAAATGTTCATGCTTGCACACAATATAACAATACAATTTGTCCAATATCATTCCCCTGAATTTAGCCTTTTCCACTCTTCCTCCCTCCTTTTGGTCCCTTTCCTTTACACTACCCATCTCCCTCTGATTTTCATGAGATCCACCCCTACCCCCACCCAACACCACCTTTATTTTCCTTTTTACTCTCTAGTTTCTACACATGAGAGAAAAGCCTTAGTTTTTTGATTTTGGCTTATTTTGGTTAACACAATGTTCTCAACTTTCATCCATTTTCCTGCAAATACAAAATTTCACTCTCCTATATGGCTGAATAAAACTCAACTGTACATATACCATTTTCTTTATCCATTGATCCATTGGTAGACACCCAATTTGGTTCCATGGTGTGGCTACTGTGAATTGTGCTGCTACAAACATGGGTATGCATATATTGCTATTGTATGCTGACTTGAATTCTATAGAATAAGTATTAAGGAGAAGCATAGCTGGATCACATGGTACGTCCATTCCTAGCCTTTTGAGGAAGATTCATACTGATTTTCATAGTGGTTGTACTAACTTACAGTCCCATCAATAGTGTGAAATACCATACAGAGAAGAAATCAAAGCCAAACAAAAAAAAAAAAAAGAGGACAATTCTCTTTTGAARAATAGCTGAGCAAATCTAAGCAAATGAGAAATAGGACCAAATTAAATGTTATAAATAAGTCAAAATGGCTGGAATTATTAAACATCTCTTTATAATAATGATGAATGTAAATGGTCTCAYCTATAATTAAAAGACATAGGCAGGCTGGCAGACAGAATGGATTTTTTTTTTAAAAGACCGAAACCTATGTGGTTTGCAAGGGACTAACATTACAGACAAAGAGCCATTGGTTGAAAGTGAAAGGATCGAAATTGGCCACCTTGTAAATGAAGACTGAAAACAATAAGAAGTAGCTACTCTTATATGTGACAAAGCAGACTTCAAGTCAAAACGAATCAAAAATCTCTTAAAAGGCCATTTCATAATGGTAAAGGGAACAATCCAACAAAAAATATAA